TACTTAAATCCAGAGATTCTTGTTCCAGAATGCCATTAATGACTGTCATTCCCTGACATTCAACACAACATTCTGACTTGTCTTTCTGCCAACAGGGGAGAAGCAATTAATAGCAACTAACACTTTACATGGAAGTACGTTATCTGTATTGACATTTAATCCTTTATTATTGTTCCCATATTGCAGATCTGTCACGTAACACAGAGATCAAGTGGAGAGCAGGATGAAAACGCAGATCCACCTGACACTTTCCTTCTACCATCCAAACTAATATTCTAAAAACTGGATCATGTCAATAAACTTTTCAATTTCTCAGCAAGAACCCACTTAAATATACTAAGTTCCTGAGCATGATCTCAGCCTTCCATATGCTAAATAAATTTAATTTTCCAGGTAGTACTTCCTACAACTATTTCACTCTCCATATATCTTAAACCTCCTGACTCTCCACTTTGAGTGCCCTTTATTAACCCCTTCGGAGACCTACACCTTACTGTCTGTACCTTAATACCGTACATGACAGTGAATGCCTGTAATCCCAGCACTCTGCAGGCTGTGGCAGGAGGACTATGAGTCCAGCCTGGACTATACAGTGAGAGCCTATCTCAAAACAAAAGGATAAAGAACCCTACTTTCTAGACACATCTCAGCTCTGTGCGTAGCATTCCCATAGCCCTTGTTATAACCACGCTGTGCAGTTGGAGCCTATGCTGCTTCAGACTGACTCATCTCTATCCTCGTCTCCCCCTGTCTGATGGTAGCATCCTTGTGGGTACAGATGGCCTCTCCCACTTCAGATCTCCAGTATGGTCTAGCTCATGTTTGCCTTTAGCTCTGAATGCAACGTGAACATGTCCATTTCAGCCACTGTACCTTCTAGAACATTTCGCAGAACCTTCCCTGATCCTCCCTCACCACCATCTATACACACAGACTCATTCATTGCTCATCTAAGCCTGCCATCTTAGAATGGTAACCCTGCAAATACAGCTGCCACGTTACGTGCATCCCAAGTCTTTCACCCACTACCTGCCAGCCTTATCTGTGACCAGCCACTGAGTCCCAAGCCACACTGCCTTTTGACAGTCAAAAGTACTACTAATTTTTATCCTGCCAGTCCCTCAGAAGTCATTAAGTATTCCAATAGTGGCAATAACCTCTAAGAATTTATGACTATAGGCCTGGAGGCCTCATAATGCTCCCATACCCCCATACCCCATCATTCCTCCTGATTCCTGATTCTCGTCTTTTCCAAAACTGCTCAGCCGGCCCCCAAACAAAACCTGCTTTTTTTTTTTTTTTTTGGTCTTTTTGAGACAGGGTCGCCTTGTAGCCCCAGCTGGACTAGAACTCACTATGTAGACCAGGCTGGCCTCTGCCTCAAGTGCCGAAACTACGGGCATCTGCCACCATGCCCAGATGCATTATCAAGCTATTGTATCCTAGAATGTCTTCATTAGTGCCAAATTTGTGTCACGCCTTCCCACTGAAACATACAGCCCCATTTTACACATCACCTAAGACCTAATCACATTCCTTCCCCAGAGTAAAGCATAAATCAACCAAGTACCTCACCTCTAGCAAGTGGATATCCCTAGTCTCCATGCCCCCACCTCTGATAAAGCTGGTTAAGTATATGTAAATCCAGCCTAAACCAGCCCAAGTGTCTTGGACATTTCTCCTGCAGGGAAAGAGCCCTTTGCTGTACCAGGAAGGGAGCCTTCCCAGTTCACCACACCACCTCCATGCCAGCGGCTCACACCACCTCCATGCCAGCGGCTCACGCCACCTCCACGCCAGCGGCTCACGCCACCGCCACGCCAGCGGCTCACGCCACCTCCATGCCAGCGGCTCACACACCACCTCCATGCCAGCGGCTCACACACCACCTCCATGCCAGAGGCTCACACCACTTCCATGCCAGCGGGTCACACACCACCTCCATGCCAGCGGCTCACACCACCTCCATGCCAGCGGCTCACACTGTTTCCTACCACCTCCACGCCAGCGGCTCACGCCACCTCCATGCCAGCGGCTCACACACCACCTCCATGCCAGCGGCTCACACACCACCTCCATGCCAGCAGCCCACTGTTTCCTCAGCTCAGGAGTCCAGCTGACTCTCAGCCTCTTGCCTTACCTTGTTCAGGCAAGGTTGGGGCTGGCCTGGCAGTGCAGAGTGTGGCTGTGACCAGCACAGCCCAGAAGAGGAGACACTTCCAGCTCCACATCCCAGTTCTGCAGTTAGAAGTTGGTAACAAGGCTCCACACCTCCATGGATACTCCACCTTGAGCTTGATCTGCCTTCTCAAGCTGACTCTGGAAAAAGGGGAAAAAAGCTAAGAGAGAGTTGTGGGAGAGAGGAAGAAAAAAGAAAGTGCAACTCTTCCCGTGGTCATCCTGGTCATCCTGCCCTGCCCCGAAGGGTGCCTGAAGCAGCTAAATGTTCCTTGAGGTGCAAAGAAGAGAATTGAGCCTATCTTAACACTGAATCAGAGGTTACATGTCTTTTTTTTTAATTATTATTATTTTTTTTTTTTTTTTTGGCCTTTTTGAAGCAGGGTCTCCCTGTGGCCCCAGCTGTCCTGAAACTATGTAGACCAGCTGGCCTTGAACTCACAGAGATCTGCTTGCCTCTGCCTCCTAGCTGGGACTACAGGCATGCACCACCACGCCCAGCTCTTAATTATTATTTTTATTTTATGTGTATGAGTGTATTGCCTGCATGTATGTGAGTACACCCGTGTCGTGCAAAGCCGTGGTCAGAAGAGGGCTTCAGATTCCCCTGGAATTGGAGTTAAGGACAGTTCGTAGCTAGGGTGCTAGGAATCAAACCTGGGTCCTCTGCAAGAGCAGTCAGTGCTCTTAACCGCTGAGCCATCTCTCCAGCCCGGAGATTACATGTCTTAATTAGGCTTTACTTCGTGGTAGGTATGGATCTGAAATATCCCACAAAGACTTAATGTGTTAAAAGCTTGCTCCCTTCCCTCCCACTGGAAATGGTGGTGCAAACCTTTAATCCCAGCACTCAGGAGGCAGAAGCAGACATATCTCTATGAGTTTGAGGCCAGCCTAGTCTACACAGTGAGACCTTGTCTCAATAAACAAAAACAAAGAAAAAGCTTTTCCCCTAACAGGACATTTTTGGGAGCTAGTGAGCCCCTTAAGAGGTGGATCCCAGGGGGGAGTTTTAGGTCAACTGGGGGCATGCCCTTGAAGATTATAGGAATCCTATCTGATACTCCTCTTCACTCATTCTGTCCCTGGCCATGAGGTGAATGGAATTTCTCTACTACATATTCCCATTATGACGTATGTGCAAAAGCAATCAACTATAGACTGAAGCCTCCAAATCTGTGAGTTAAATAAACCTTTCCTTTTTTTAAAAAATAAATTTTATTTATTATTTTTATTTTATGTGTACGCGTGTATTGCCTGCACATAGGTAAGTGCACCTATGTTGTGCAGTGCCCGTGGAGGTCAGAAGAAACTGTTGGATCCCCTGGAACTGGATTTATGGACAGTTGTTAGCTGCCATGTGGGTGCTAGGATTCGAACCTGGGTCTTCTGCAAGAACAACCCGTGTTCTTAACCGCTGAGCCATCTCTCTAGCCCCACCTTTCCTTTTTTGAATTTGATTATCCCAGATACTTGGTTATAGTAATGGGAAGCTGAAGTCCATCATTCAATTCTACAACTATGTTTTGAATACAGCCTAGGTGTCAGGCAGATCTCTTATATTTTCCTGCAAGAAAGTTAATGACTTTGTAAAAGTCCCAAATAGCCACATTGAGATCAAGAGCTTTACAAAGTGCTGTGCAAGTAATTGCAAGAGACTTATGGATTCCAGAGACTCCTCCTTCCTAAGACTTCACTGCATCTAGGACAAACCAACTCCTTTAGTGACAACTGAGAAGTAAAGAGTTAAGGACTAGGAAATGGGAGCCAAGTACATGACAACCAGCTCACAGCTTCAGGTCCTGAGGAATAATAATGAACCGGATAAACTTCCCTGAAGCCATGCAAGGAAGAAGCCGAAGTCACGATCCCCAGGATTGTTACTATTAATTATTATTTGTACTGGGGATGGAGCCCAAGGCCTCGCACAGGCTAAGCAACTGCTCTGCCACTAAGAACCATCCCCAGCTCTCCAGGGTTCCTTCCTTTCTGCCTCTAAAACTACAGAATCACAGGCACCTCCAGTTCTACCAGCCTCTCTTACAGAGAACGCATGGCCCATCACTGCTTACAGAGTGCCTCAGAGCAGGAAACTGTGAGGTGGGTTCAGTTATCCCTGAGGCCGGATGGTGACAGTTGATGTCTGACAGAAGCCAGGAGGTTGGAAGCCATACACAACACAGTCAAGAATATTCACAGAGGTGGACTCAAAGATGGCTACTCAGCCCCAGGGAAAACCAGACTCTGTGGCCCTTGACCTTTCTCAGGTCTGTGGTGGTAAATTGTTTTTGATGTTTAAATGTTTTTTTAAATTTTACTCATTATTACTGTATGGGGAGCATGCACATGTGTATAGAGGTCAGAGACAGCCCCGAAGTCGGGTCTCTCCTCCTGTACATGGGTTGCAGGGATTTGAGCCATCAAACCAGTCCTGTGGTGGCAAATTTAAAATGGCTACCTAAGGTCCTAAGAAAGAGACCATTGGTGGTAAAACATCTACCAAGTGACAAGATGACTTTCTAGGAACTACATGGTCTACACAGGGGTGATCATCTCTGTCTTCTACGTGGATTCTGTCCTCTGTTTTAGGGAACCATCCAAGCTATTCAGAGAATCTGTTTCCGGAAAATGCCCTAATGTGGTAAGTAAGCCCTGTCTCCCCCTAAACCAGGCAGGGCCCCTCTCCAATGAGGCAGTCCCTGCTGGCAGAAAACTCCCAGATTCTTGGCCAGCAGAATACATACGTACTACCACTAGCTGACTCCCAAAGCTTACTAAAAATTTTAACAATTTCAAACCAATGGTGAAGTAAATATTTTTCTTCCATTTCAGAGTTTAGGAAAGGGACTAGAAATGGAATATTTACTGAATACTTACTCTGTGATGCCTATACAAGTATAATGTACCTATAACTATAAAACTTCATTCCTTTCTCTACATCTTTTTTTCTCTCTTTCTACATTTCTAAGGGGTAGGTAGATGAGTACTAGTCTGTGCTAAGAGATAAGACACTTAAGTACTTTGCCCAAGGACATGTGGCAGGACTTAGATCACCCAGGTTTCGAGGATGTTAAGTCAAGGTGGGATGATGCAAATAAGGGGTTGGTTATACCAGACTGGGGTATAATTCAGGAATAAAATGTCTGCCTAACTTGTGGGAGACCCTGGTACATCCCCAGCACACAAAAACAAACTGAAAACAAACAAAACTGGCCCCATCTGATGCACACTTGGGGGGCTTGGAGAGGTTCCCATAGAGAAACCAAGTGGATGAGGACAAACCCAAGTCAACTCTGGAAATTCCAAGTTCTTGGTAGGCAGAAAGATTTTTGGAAGCAATAAGTCAGGGTTATCCAGGACCAAGGACTGGGTACAATCTCAGACCAACAACACTCACCTAAGGATACCTCTGAACTTACATCTCACATTCCAAAGATATATCTAATCAGGACAGGCCTGTCATCCAAAAAGGTAAACTTGACAACAAAACTTAAGTTGCACAATAACCCTAGTTCTGAATCTTTCGTATCCAAAAAGGGTGGGTGGGGCGGAGGTGGTCAGGAGTAAGTTTGATTAGATAGTCCCAGACAATAGCTTCCACCTGGGCACCTGGTCCCCAGAGAGGCCTACCCACCCACCTCCACCTAGGTGTGGGCTGGTTTTAGGTTGTCCTCTTTCAGCTCCTGTGATACATGCACTTGCAACTAATCTTGGGCAGTTTCCCATCATTTCCAGTAGAAATGAGTCCTGCCCTCCCTCTCTACTTTCTAGACCTCAAGCTTCACATCTGCAAAACAAGGATGCTACAAAAATCTGGCCTTTTGGTACCAACTTCTGGAATGAGAATGTGGGTGGGGACATGCATCGTTCTGCACATCTGAAGAACACGAACACGAAATGGCACAAACCACAAATCCAAATGCTATTTGGGATTCCTGGAGACTGTCATCTTACCTTCTACTAATATAATGCAATTTTTAAAAGTCCTTATGAATAAAGAGTCTCTTTCCCTCACTGCTTGACAGATGTGACCTATAGCCTCAAAGGTATACTCAGTGTTTCCCCAGACACCCTGCTGCTGGCTCCCCATCAGTTTCTACACTATCAGTTGGGGTTCCCAAAGTTCACAGCCCAAATTGCCTGGATGAGGAAGTGATCAATGAGGGAGTACAAAGAGGGGACCACACTACCTCATTTTTCACATTTATGGCAAGGCTAAAATACATATGCCCTGTCTACATCCATGTGACTATGAGGACTGAATGGGCAGTGTGCCAGAAACTGTGTCTCCTCCAAAGTACTTATCCAACTTTTGGTGGATCTGGTGTGAAGGCAGGGCCTGGATCACATGACCTCATACTCCCTAATTCTAAGTGTAAAGATACTATGAACATCAAATCTCCTTGTCCAAAAATGATGCAAGAAAAACTGCTTGACGCCAAGTCTCTTCCTGTTCTCTAGAGAAGGCAGTCAACGAGCTCCTGCTGTTCCATTTACGACACTGCCACTCTGAGGTGACACAGACACTTTCCCTGAGCTTATGAGTCCCACTTGGAGGAAACTATACATTTGTCTACCTACATCACAGGTGGTTATGAGGATCAAGTGGACAGCATGGCCTGCTTTCAACATCACTAGTCACAGACAGAGCGATAACAAACTCCTGCTCTCAACATCACTAGTCACAGACAGAGTGATAACAAACTCCTGGGATTATGAGCCACTCCTTGATGACCCTCTGCGACCGGGGTACCTTTCCACAGGTATTTCTCACCCTCCATCTTCACACTCTACACCCTAGACCTAGTTGGCCCATCTGGTGGCTGTTGAGCACTTGAAATGCTGAAATATGGCTGCTGCCAACTGGATGACTACAAGTGAAAAATATACACTGTTATTGGACATTCAGCACTGAAACAATGTAAAATATCCTACTAATTTTTTCATTCTGGGGCCAGGTACTGTGTGTGCTTAGCCTATTTGAGGCTCCAGGTTCAATTTCTAGCCCTCTCCCCCAAACTTTTTATATAGACTATGTGTTCAAAGGATAGTATCGGTAATATAAATGTAATAAAATAATATGAATAAAGTGTGTTTTTACAATCTATATGAGTGATTTAAAATGGATTTTACCTGTTTCT